TAGAACTCTATATAGCTTTGTAATTTGGCAAGGTGTAGTTATTGACATGATCTTTCATGAAGACCCTCACCTGGGGCGGACTCTGTGCTCTGAACAGCTTCTCCTGCGGACACCACTGACACACTGTTGTCTGTAGTTTCACCTGAGGATGCAGCAGTGGCTGATGGGACGGATGCAGCTGCGGAGACTGTACTCATTCCTGGTGAGGGAGCCCCACCCATTTTCTTAGGTGCCACAACAACACTCCTGAAAAAGAATGACCAAGACAACAGTTAATCAATCATTATTATTATTATAATTTTTTTTTTGTAGGTTGAATGGTGTACTTTTAAAAAAGTTTATGCTTGCATTAGATTGTGAAGCCTTTTTAATGTATTTTCTAATAGAGGGAAAGCAGACTCTGATGCTCTGATAAATACGCAGAGCTAGAGAATCAAGTACTCTGTCAAAAAACCATTAGCTCTGGTTCCATCGACGGCCCTGTAATGATCAGACTGATGATGTCGGCTAAATATGCTGCACATAATGTGATTTAGCATAAAAAGCCGCCCAGCTCACACAGCACAAGAAGCCCATTTACCGTGTTAGTGTAATTAGAGCCCTGTTTCCCTGACACAAAATATTCCATAATGACAGCATCTATCTTCTGACCAATCAATGGCCTCCCAGCTCCTGTCACTCAGAGCTCCAAACTCTATGATTGATTAAAGCTGGCGGTGTGTTATGCTCTAGATGCTACTGTGTGTCGCTGTACAATGTCATGTCGTGTGATTATCTGATAAACAAGCCGTTTTGCGGTAAGTTAAAGATTAAAGGACTGAAAATGTCTCAAAATTTCAGTTCATTTTGAAGGTTGTGCTCCGTTTACAGTATTAGGCTAACGTTTGGACACACTTAGCTGAATGTATGTTTCTCATGATATGATCTGGCGATTTATGCTTAAATGCTTGAAATTAGTTTCATATAAATATTCATTCACCCAATTTTTTTTTCTTTCCTGTGGGACTTAAAAAGAGAAATATTTTGATGATTCTTCATGCATCTTTACAAGGACAGTTTATAATTATCACAAAAGGGCAAAATAAAAAAAAACTATTAAACTATTAAGAACTATTCCACCAAAAGACTCTAAAAGGTATCTCATCCATGCTCACATTCAGAGAAAAAAAAAAGAAAAGGGGAAAAAAAAAAGTCTGACGCCATCGACGCCACTGAAATCAAACCGTCATAGGCTCTTGCTTGAGTTGTACTTAAAGTTCATGCAAAGCAATATTAAATATGTGTTCCGAGTTGATAAAAAAAAAAAGCAAAGTAAATAAAATAAGTTATCAATATCTTGAAAAAATAAGCCGTATTCTCTGCTCTTAAATGCTGGGGGCGTCCTCTGTCTGCGCTGAAACCACACCCCCCTCGCGGGAAAGCTGCCGTCTCTCTCTCTCTCTCTAAATACCGCTACAACCTGAATGGATGCTCACTCTAGCAGCTTAATTTAAATAAGGAGACCGAGCTGTTTTGTAAATGATCGCAACCAGGTAATATGCATTTACGTGAGGAAGGCATAGCTAGCTAGCAGACTGTAGCCTGTAGAAACTAACGGTTGAGATTGAGCGGGCGAACCACTGATGCTAATGCACTCTAGTTATCAGGTGTGTTCGACTTGAAGCAGCGCTGCGCAGTTTGACATCAAAGTACCGTGAGAGCGATTCGAAAGCATAAAGAACGTGAGGAAGGCATAGCTAGCTAGCAGACTGTAGCCTGTAGAAACTAACGGTTGAGATTGAGCGGGCGAACCACTGATGCTAATGCACTCTAGTTATCAGGTGTGTTCGACTTGAAGCAGCGCTGCGCAGATCGATCGGTGTTTGACATCAAAGTACCGTGAGAGCGATTCGAAAGCATAAAGAGCCGTCTGCTCTCTTGATGTCATACAACGATCGGTCTGCGCAGCGCTGCTTCCAGTCGAACACACCTCTTAGTGTTGGGGGGGGGGGCAAGCTCAGAGGCTCCAGTGCGTCATCGAGACCAGTCCAAAAAATCCTCAACACAAAAATGGTGAAAAACTGTTTAACGGTCTAACTCCACAATTCAGTACTACATAGTTCACAGTCTTTGTAACGTGTTTTCAGCAATACATTTCTAACATTTATAATGTGTTTAGAAACAATTCTCTGAATTGCCTCTACATGGGCTTTAAGAGCTACGATGGAGGGGAAGATTTTCAGTGAATAACGACCTAAACTTTGGTCTGTTCCTCTTGTTGGTCTGGCATTAGAAGACTTGAACACTAGAATGGACTTGTATGGACCACAAAATAATTTTGGTGTTTATTTTGCAATATGGATATTTTGAAGTATGGATAGTATATGTGATATAATAATAACAAAAACAATCAAGTCAAAAGATCAATAGTTAATTTTTTATAGTTGCTTTTCCATGTTTTTCAAAATAACAAAGGGCAGTCATGGAATTATTTTTTTGGAAACCATTCATACATTGCAGGCAGAGCAGGTTTTCTCTCCATCAATGGTTTTAGCCACAGACTTTTCGATTTCCATTTAGATTCTACTTCTTTGGTGGCTCAGGAACTACATCATGCTCCTCATCGTGTCGTTCCAAAAATATACATTTGCACAGCCATAAACCTTATTCAGGTGTGCAATTGCAAACATACCTTTTCTTTTTTTTTTTTCTTCTTTTTTTTTTTTTTTTTACATGTTTATTGTTTTATGAGGACAAGAAAGTAAAAAAAATCAACAAGTGCCAAACATAAGCATGGAACGCCTTCAAGACTTTTAGATCCGCATTTCAGGTTTATCACTTTTTAATTTGTTTATCATAGGTTCATTTGTGTTATAACACCATTTTATTTATAAAAAAATTAGTATTAAAGAAAAGAATGCATGTTGAAGTAAACCAGGGAGGAAACATATCAAACACACAGCAAGTAACCATGGTAACATTTTCATAATCACAAATGGTAAAAATGTTTGAAAGATAAAGAACACATCAGTAAGTTTTCATAATGATCACGGGTCTCTGCTGCATTCTACATAGTCTAGAGGTAAAAATGGAAATGGTTCATATCAGCTGAAAGCCATGACAGAGCTCTGGCCTTTCACAGTGGCTAGTGTTGAGTTTATCAGTGCTGACAGAGGGGTAATGCTACGCAGTCACCAGCTCCTCTCCAGAACACATCCACAGAGACGCTACAGACTGAGGAGCTACGCCAGCATCAGATAAGAGCCGTCTAGGACAGACCGCTTCAAACGGCCCGCTGGAAGTTGCCTAGGAGCAAAGGCACGAGAATGAGAGTGTTCTCACACCATTTCTAAACATCTGATGTCTCCTTAACTCGAAAATATCCAGTGCAAGAAAACGAAAGGAACTTGTAAACTGGAAGGTTCACAGCTCATGACATCAGCATTTGCTGAACAACAGTGCGCTGTTCCAAAAACTCTATTAGAGCGCATTTATGTTCTCTCTCAAGTGCATGTTTACCGCTGACCGGTGGTGGGATGGTGGGGGTGGACGGCTGCTGCATCCATCTGCTCAAAGGCGCAGGTTGTAAATTATTCAGCACACCATTAGCCACACTTAGCCCCAACTCACTACCGCTGTCAATTAATCAGAGCTGCCAGGTTTATACCAGACGAAAGGCCACATGGAGTTTGGATTCCAGATGCTGAATTATTTAGCAGTTTTAACCAACACTCCCGGACACGACATGTAAACAGCATGTTTCCCGTAATCTGCACAAATGTGAGATCGGGTGCGAGGAAATGTGTGTGTTAGAAACTGATCTTACTGGACATGGATCGACATTTTCAACAAACAAGGGCTGAACAATCAGCTTCTTCACATATAAATGCTGCTTTAAATTAGTCTTGCTGGTGGTAAGTTTCAAACTGTGCCGTTTTATTTTATTTTTTTAATTTAAATACATTTAAAAGCCAAATAAAGTTAAATACATTTTTAAAATGTATCCCTTTGTGTCTTCTTTAGAGGTTAGGGTACAAACATGATACCAAAAATATCAGTTTCATGTCATGGATGAAAACAGTCAAGGCCTCTAAATTTAGTCTATATTTCATCATGACATATTCATTCAATTTTTGTCCATTTTGCTTCAACTGAAATGGCAATCAAACAAATAAATAAATAAATAAACAACATTTTAGTTCATAATTTCACATTTCAAATCTTGCATACTATGATTGGATTATTTTAATCTTTTTTTTTTTTTTGGCTCATCATACCATCAACAGTGGGTTTTAATTAAAACCGTTTCATCATTGTTATGATGCATCTTTTTCATCGCATTTTCATAGCTGTCAAAATCAAAGAACCTGTTGTCAAGAATCCTAACCCTTTCTCCAGCCATATTCATTTACTCACGGGTACATCTAATTTTTGTCCAACAAGTCATTATGACACCATTCACTGGTCTCTGGATCCTATCAGCAAATATTTGCAGACTTCATGTCAAAACAAGAGTGGGGTAAGAAAGACGTATGGCGAAATCGGGATGTTGTTGATAGTAAATAAATTTAACATCTGTTTTACCCTTGACCCCAGGCCTGGTTTATCTGGGAGACCCTGTTTTTTCCCCCCATATATAACACTTGTAAATCCCCTGGTATTCAATCACACCACCCTGGGTGTTCCAACATACACTTTGTTAAGCAAGCATGCATGCTTCAGTATAACTTCAGGGAAGCTCTGTGTACATACATAGTATAAATGGAGTAAAATGCAGCAACACTGATCAGACTTCTGCAGAGGGAACAGTGGGAGTATTCATCGCTCCGAGTTTGAAATATTAGTTTGGTAACTCATTCATAGGTGCGGTGCTAGAGTGCTTTGGAAAACATATCAAAATAGTCAAATCAAAATGAGACAAAAAACGGGACGCAGAATGATAGCTAGAAAGCAGTAAAGAAAGAAAGAATGTTCGGCAGACAGGGCAAGTGAGTGTGTGTTGATGAGTGTGTAAGTGGACTCGGAGAACACCAGACTCAGAGCTGGAGTCATCCAGATAACTCGGCACCTCTCCGCCGGGGGATCCTGAGACGAGATAAGAGGCTCACTCACGCTCTGGTAAATTGGTAGTTGACATGAAATACTTTTGGGAAGCTGGCATGTCCCAGGTGACATTACACTTCATTTAAAACGGCTTTAAGCAGCATTTTGATTATTCTTTTTAATAACCTCATATTATGTAGAAGACTGCATCTATATTTGAAAAATCTTTTGAAAAATTATTTATTCAAAATTAATGTAAAAATAATTTCATCTTAAAGTAAATTTTGAAGGCCAATTTTTAGGTTGATTAAAAATGGAAAGCTAAAAAAAAAACGTTATAGTACGTAAAACATACGTTCAGATCAATTTGATCTTGAAATACTAATATTGAAAAAAAATTTAAAAAACTGAAAAAGACGAATATTTGGTGGGAAAATCTGATGCGAAAATATTTTAATTTTAATCAACAGCTGGTAATGTGTCCGTTCAGACCAACACAAACATTCACATTCAGTCAACGATACAGATTTTTTTTGTACAGAGATGTTCTGTCTTCACCATCGAACTGCGGAAAAATTAGCCAACCAATCAGATTTACGCTTTTATTTATATTCCCAGAGCCACTGCTTTTACTGTACATAAAGCTTGCTTGGTGGAGTTTGCTAAACGACAATGAATAGCTGGGGAGAATCTTAACCTGCACATCACAAACCATGAACACCACAGCAAAAAAAAAATCTGAACGCTGTTTGAAGACATGTAAATACTATTTGACTTATACTTTTATAAGTATTTCTGCTTGTCTATAAGCGCCACCTACTGTCCAGAGAGTGAATTTGCATTTTCATTCAACTCTTCTGCCGTTTTTTTCACACCTTGGTCTGAAAAGACAAATCGCATGCGAAAAACAGACCACATTTTTGTGCCAAACATTTGTGTTGGTGTAAACAGGCCTTAAGAAAAGCTTGGTTTGACTGAAGACCTGATGGAGGACCAAGTCCTCTAAGAAAAGCTAACGGCAGAAGAGAGCTGCAGTGACTGCTGGGAGCTTTGCAGGAGCCAGCATAATCCCTGTCCTGATACCAGCAGCGCTGTGATACCTGACAGAGCATTCCTCAGATAAAACACAAGGCCAGATCAGAGGGATGTCTCACAGATGCCCAGAAGACATAGAAAGGAGAAGAGATGTGAGAGAGCAGGAGGTAAACAGAAAGAAGATGGCATGACATACTGCTTTCAACTTCCAACACAAAAGCAAAATCTCCCTTTTTTCTTTCTTTCTTTTTTATAATAAACCCTCTCTGGTTATGTCAGACTTATGCACAGACAATGCAGCAAATAAAAACCAGACAGTGCAGACGTCCGCCAACACATAGCAATGGATCTTGTTTCCCAATGCACCCCACCCTCACCATGGAGCAGCAGTTACACTACACTCCTTAAACAACAGACAGCAATGCAAAGGAATAAAAAACATCCCAAAAGACACAAAACGTTTAGAATTGGTGCGCATGCAATCTGACATCTGCCACTTATGTACACAAAATCTATTCAAATGACTGGGGTCAGTAAGATTTTTAAAGAAATTAATAATTATATTCAGCAAGAATTCACTTAATTGATCAAAAGTGACAGTAAAGCTATGTATAATGTTATGAAAGATTCCTGTTTTAAAGGGGTCATATGATGCGATTTCAATTTTTCCTTTCTCTTTGGAGTGTTACAAGCTCTTGGTACATAAAGAAGATCTGTAAAGTTGCAAAGACTAAAGTCTCAAATCCAAAGAGATATTCTTTATAAAAGTTAAGAGTCAACCACGCCTACCTAAAACGGCTCGTTCTAACACGCCCCCACATGTCTATGTCACGATGTGGGAAGATTTGCATAACGCCGCCCAAATGTTCACACAAAGAAAGAAGGCGTAACTTCTATTCTCGCTTTCGTATTGTTGTTGCTGCCGCCGCCATGTCGTGAAGGCGCTGTGTTTCGTTGTGAAAGCGAAACTACTTTGTTTGGCCTTCCAAAAGAGGACGATATCCGCTTCGTCATGCCTGGAGCTGATCCGTGCTGGTCGCTGAGGAAATACATCAACTTCACGCTGTGGATCGCCGGATCGGCTTTCACCGTGGACGAAGCGGAGTCCAGCCCGGGGTCGTCACGTGTGGTTGCCGCAAGCCCGCCCGCCGCCGCTCACCCTAGGCCTCCGCTCACTCAAGGCCGCCGTGTGTTTCGTTGTGAAAGCGATATGTGTAAAAAGAAAGTATAAGTCATTATAATCAGTAATTATGTTCCCACTGGATACAACAAATGCCTTGTTTATAATGGATTTTAATGTTTTTGAATCGTCGCTCTGGCCGGGACACGGCATCACAATATGTAAGGGGCGTAACATTTCCGTCACACGCTTGAGGTATTCGGCCAATCACAACGCACTGGATAGCTGGCCAATCAGAGCACACCTCGCTTTTCAGACCGATGAGCTTTGTAAAACTTTCTATTCATCAAAAAATCATGGTTGTATCATAGTTTTCACTAAAATATTAAAAAGCACAGTTCAGAAAGAAAATGCATGTGTATCAGCATATTGGAATCATGCATTATGTCTTAAAGTGACAGCAGCCTAATACACCTGCTGCTGCCGTTAATGTGAAACAAAAAACAAAAAAAACTCACTGCTTTTGACTGAATAACTTTTCTAACTTTAATGAGGATTAATCTATACATTAATTTACATAGGCTATGAAGTGTTCGTTTTTTTTTCTTTACAATAACCATTTCTGCCCTAACACACACACATCAACCAGCAAACACAGACACAAGTCCACTGGTGGAGGAATGGGCAAGTGTATGTGTATGCATCTCCTGGGGCCCGTTTTGATGGGCTCTGCTTTTGTAAGGCTGTTTGTTTGTGTAGAACGGCACACTTCCAAAGCAGAAGTCAGGTGCTCTGCAGGGGTGTCCATCATAAAAAGCACACAGACCGCTGCCATAGCACACTCAAAGAGAAAACATGTTTTGTTTTTTACATGATGTGTGGCGAGAGAGAACAAGCAAAGCCTCTAGCAAAGCACTTACATCTGTGTGCACGGATTGGCCAATGAACTATAAATTCTGATTGTCCACTCACCTGTCAAAGGAGTGAAACTGGACGGACTGGTCACGGGAAGCATCGCCCACTGCACCCAGAAACCCGGGCGGTATAAGGCTAGGGTCCACCATAATTTCATCAGAGGGAGCACCAACCAGACTTCTCAGAATATCCTTGACATTGACGTTTTTTCCTTTGCTGTCTCTATCAGTGACCTCCTGACCTCTCCTGACTTCAGAGGACAAAGTAGACAGGGCTTCAGATACAGCATCCGGGCCGGTCCGTGTCTCGGCATCACTGGGGATGACTGAGGTTTTCGCATCCTCAATACTAGATTCTCGATGATGAGACAAACCGTTCTCAAGATCAGACTGAACACTCTCTGCAAAAAACAACACAACAGTCCACTGCTCAAAAAACTGAATACGTGTGTATCTGGTCTGTAGGTTCTGTGGGTTCAATCTTGCAGCAGTGATGTGTGTGGGTTCAGGTGGTCACCTGTGCTTCTGACAGACTGTGAGCGCTGGGCATGTCTTTTGTCATTGTGTGGCTCAAGGATGTCTCGATATTTGGATACCATGAGTACAGAGATGAAGTAGACCACTGCCAGGGCCAGGAACTGAGCCTGTTTACTGTCCTCCTAAAGCACAGCACACAACAAAACAAATGTTAAGAGTATTGTAAAAAATTAACCACACTACTGTTCAAAAGTTTGGGATCAGTTTTTTGAAAGAAATAAATAAATACTTGTATTCAGCAAGGATGCATTAAATTGATCAAAAGTAACAGTAAAGACCTTTACATTAATACAAAAATTATTTCAAATGAAACACTGTTTGACTGCACTATAGAAAATAAAAGAGACATTAGCTGAATGAGTGGCAGATCAGAGCCAGCGAGGGATGTGTTAGTTGAATAAGAGTATGGAGAGACTCACTATGTCTCTGAACACTACAGCACGGAGACGATTGATGTCCATGTCCTGCAGAAGCCGGTCTAAATCTCTGATAGGAGACATCCCTCCTGTCACAATGTCCACAGGACTCTGCAACACACAGTTTACAGAGTCTCAGTCTCAGAACTATTTTTTTTTTTTTTAAATGCTCCCACTGCTCCAACACACGATATCAGTTGGATTTAGTAAAAAAACTAGGGAGACTTTTGTTTGCTGTTCCACATTTAGACAGCGCTGAGGCACAGAGGCGCTAATGTAACAGTTTTGCTAAGATTCTAAATAATAGATAAGGTGTGAGTGTGGAGTGTAAGTTACACGACACATTAAGGAAGAAAAGGGGTTTATTTTTTTACTGGAACTGTAAGAATCAAACCATGGACCATTTTGAGCAAAAGGATTCTATTTAAGGATTCTATTTAAAATTACCATCTGGACAGTAGAGAGAAAGAGAGAGAGAGAGAGAGAGAGAGAGAGAGAGAGAGAGAGAGAGAGAGAGAGAGACATTCCAGACAGTTTCTCACAGCCATCGCGCACACTGAGGAGGAGAGAGAGCGTGTGAGAGAGGGACAGATAGAGAGAGAGTGCAACTGAGAGGTAGAAATACTGAGAAGACAACGTCACAGAGATGAAAGGGTACTAGAACGAAAAGATATATAGACTAAAGGAAACATGACATATGAGAAGGTCGTTGCATGACAATGAAAAAGGGCTTAAAATACCATCTTATGAGTGAAACCAGTGAAAACTGAAGCCATAAGTAGACTTTTTGGAAGATTATGTGCATTTCTATTATGAGCATCATATGAGACAATATCATACAATGTTGTAATTACGACTTGCCGAAATAAAATCTATAGATATAAAATACTTAAAGCATAACACAATGTTAGTTTAAACATTTAACCTATATAAATGTGCGCTATTAGGTGCATATAAAACCTTTAACATAAACCTTTTACAATGTTGGAAAAATGTATATTTGAAATAAAATAAAATAAAATTGTAATTTTGAAATATATTAAAATAGAAAACATTTATTGTAATCTCTAAAAATATTTCAATAAATTGGCAAAAAAATTATACTAATTATACAATTTTGTATAAATAGACTAAAAGTTAAATAAATATA